ATTTAATTTATTATAGTGAAAATGTATGAAATGCATAAGATAGAAGAAAAAACAACAATTGATTTAGAAAACTTTACTTCACCGATTAAAATGTTCTTTTTATACTTTGATTAGTGTAATATTTCATCCTTTTTCTACTTTTGTTAATAAACATTTCAGTTGTTTTATTCGACGGGAAAAGAAAGTAATTGCGAACGTGTTTCTAATATACATATAACACAGTATAATAAACAGTTACTATCAACTTAAAGCAAGATTAGATGTAAAAAAAATAATATAACGATGATGCAACGGTGTAATTTTCAATATTTTGTAACAAAGATTAAGAGAATGTACCGACGGATTTCAAGTATAAATAGAAGGGGGCTTTTAAATCAGAATCTTGAATGTTTTAATCAGTAATTAAGCATACCACGTTTTTAAAACGAATGAACATGTGTGCATCGAGTAATGGAATGTACATGCAATGTGTTCCTTGATTCGCACACATCCGTTATCCTGATTTGTAAAGCATCGATTTGTCGTAATATAAGAAATTTTACATAATAACAATATGTAATAAACTATTATCTTCCATATAAGAATAGTTTTATTACGAGTGGATTGAACAAAAGAAAAAGACAGAAAGAAAAAGGGGAGTAATTTTTAACAGAAATAAAAAGACATCTTACTGGGAGTTGGCATATTTTTTCATAGGATTCTTTAAGGACTTCCAGTCGTCTATAATGATATTCTTTTTGTGCAATAGCCATTGGAAAAAATGGCGATTAAACGATGTCCCAGTATATAGTCCGGAATGTATTTAGACAGTAAGGGTTAAATTTAATCGCGACGTTCCGTTCATTAACATTAGAGAAACAAACTGATCAGAAAACAACAGTTCTTTTGCAATTTTATAAACCGTTTTGTATACATATATTTATCGTAATATAACAATACAATAAATTCAAAATTGTAAATTTATTTATCCGAAGCGAGGGACCTAACGTCCTTTTACAGAGTTAATTATTATCGTTATCGTCGGCAATCATTAGTAAACAAATTGTCTAAATATCTCGGTAAAAGAGGCTCGCTATTGTTAATTATAGAATAATCAGAAATCCTTTTTGATACATTTTGTAATTCACGAATGATTACGAACACATCTTTTCTTTATTATATGCAAATTCTGTCTGATAAAAAGCATTTAATAATATACCTGTGTGTGTCTCTCTAAGTAATGTGTACATGTGTGTGTGTGTGTGCGTGTGTGTGTATGCGTGTGTGGCCGGTTAGTGTACGCGGTACGTATGAATTTTTCATAGAAATACCAATGAGAATGCGTTAGAGAACAATAATTCACCGATCACTAACCCATCTTTCGTAATGTCAGTTGTTGTCTAGCAATTAATATACATTCACATCAATTGTTTCGAATTTCTAAATGAATTCGTCTAAACGAAACTATCGTCTTCTGAAGTACACGGGGACAAAACGTATGAATATAAAGTATTATGAAACACCAGAATAAACATTACAAGTCCTTTTTCTAATTCTTATTAATCCTCTCGCGAACTGGAATTATCTAATAGAATAAGATGCTCCTATAAAAAATCCTCTAGCTTAAGGACAATTACTCTCTACGCTATATATACAACCCTTTCGGATCGAGAAACGGTTGGAGAAAAGAAATTGTTTAAAAATCAAAACAAACATTGCGTAATTCAGAGAAGTTTACTCGTCGAAACGTTTGTAATAGTTGGCCACAAGAGTTTCGCAAGAAACACGAAGCCTGAGGAATACGAACTTTTCAATGCTACTCGATATCTCGATCTACCAGTTTTCTTCTATCAGGAGGAACCTTAAAGGAATCGCAATTAAAGTGGTTAATAATTATAAAAATCTATGAAAGAAAGATCGTCTATTTATATTCGAAGGGGACTGCAAGAAGAAGGAATTCGAGAAGTACCGATCCAAGAATCCACAGATCGAATTACATCTAGGAATTTCATTGATTAGTAACGCTATCGATTCGATAAGAATGTAACAATGTTGTTTACCCCTGAAACGATGCATTAAACGACACTGGATAGGTTCGGTTGGTAGAAAAACAAGAAGTTTCTCGGATGTTGCGTGGATGTGCCCATCGTCCTCTCTCGCCTTTCCGACACGTTCGAGGAAACCACGAGACGCTTTCGAAGAAGGACACTTCGTAAATGTTTAACTGATTCTTTACTTCTTTTCTTTTTTTTTATTGGTGAAAAAGCTTCTGTTAACCAATCGATTACATTCACTTTACACAACAAATATGTAGTTTCCGCAGTAAGTCAATCGTTTCGTCAAGGTGTATTCGGCGTGTAGTTTCTCTTTCACTTGATGATGATAATCGTATTTGATGATTGTATCTAGTATATACACACATATAGATATACATATATACTAGATACAATATATATATATAGATTTATATATACGAGTCTCTTTCTCTCTTAAATTTCCTTGGTGTGTGGTATTATATCATGTATGCATGGTGTGTAATGTTTCGTGTGCGTGTACGTGCCTTTCTTCATGAGTAGTTTTACGTTTGTCAGGTGCGTGTCTATATACGCGCGGAATTCTCGTCAAAAGATCGACGAGTGCGTGAGTGCGTGCAAAGGATCTGATCCTAAAATCTTCACTTCTCGTTTATTTGCTCTCTCTCTCTCACTCTCTCTCTCTTTCTCTTTCTCTTTCTCTTTCTCGTTCGAAAGAGATGTCTCGTTGATATACAAAACGAAAAGTCGACCAACCAATATGGTCGTTCGTTCATTCATATCCTGATACGTATATATGTATATAGATGTATATATATATATATACATATACCTGTTACTATAAAATCATACATTCCGGTTTTGGGGGCAATTAATTTTACATTCGATTTACAAGCTTTGAAGGTTTACTATTTGCACCTGATGATGATCATTCTGTTAGGGAACAATGTCTCACGCACGCTCGACTGTTTGATTCTGTAAACAATAGAGTAGCCTTGTACAGAGTATATCAAAGATGTTTCTACTGAGAGGATCTATGAATTTTTAGTTGCAAACTTCGAGTACATACGTGGAAATATAAATCCATATATATATATACACATACACATATATCATATGCGTATATACTTCATTATATTTATACGTACGTATATATACCGTGTATATACATATATGT